TGGGAATCCCCGGGAGTAGATGGAACAGGGAGAATCCCTTGGGAAACTCCATCCTTGGGTTGTTCCTTCCTCAGCCACATCCTGAGGAACCCTCAAGGATCAAAATTCCGACTCCTCCAAGCGTGGAGCATCCCTTGGGATGGGAATCCCTGGGAGTAAATGGATCCCTTGGGAAACTCCATCCTTGGGTTGTTCCTTCCTCAACCTCATCCTGAGGAACCCTCAAGGATCCAAGGAGGAAAGCTCAGATCCCTCAGGGATCGGAGTGGGAATCCTCCCCTCCAGCAGGGAAAAAGGGATCCCCGGAACATTCCCAAACATTCCAAAGGTTCCTTTTCCCAGGTGAAGAGCTTCATCGAGACGCAGAAGGCCCTGCTGGCCGAGATCCAGAACGGCTGCAAGCGCAACTTCATCCTGGCCAAGGAGAAGGAGGAGCAGGAGCAGCAGCTGCAGCACTCGGCCTCCATGCCCGAGATCACCGTCACCGAGCCCCCGGACGACGATCCCAACACGGAAAACCGGGATGGAGGCGCCCAGGAGGAGAAGGAGGAGGAGGAGGAGGAGGATGGAGAGGAGGAGGAGGATGGAGAGGAGGAGGAAGAGGCCCTGGCGGCCGAGGAGAACGGGGGGGACTCTGAGGACGCGGGGGATGTTTCGGACTCCAGCTCGGACACGGACGAGGATCCCGATCCCGAGGACTCGCGGGACCAACAACAACAGCAACAACAACAACAACAACACCCCCCTCCTCCTCCGTGCCCGGAGCGGCCGCCGGATCGGCCCTTCCCGACGCCCCTTTCCCGGGAATCTCCGGCCGATCCGAGCGCCCAGAGCTCGCCGGGCCACCAGCGGAGGATCTCGGTGTCCAGCCCCGGCAGAGGCCACAAAGTCTTCGTGGTGACGCGCGTGGAGCCGCTTCCAGAGGCGGGAGAAGGATCCGGGAGCTGCGTCCCGGCGGCGGCTCCTCCTCTTCCTCCTCCTCCTCCGGAGAACGGGGCCGTTCCCGAGGGATCTGAGCTGGGCTCTTCCTGCGGGATGAGCCCGGCCCGGGAGGCGCCGCTGCTCAACGGGCTCAAGACGGATTTCGCGCGGGCGCTGCCGGAGGTGGCCCCGGACAACGACGGGAAAATCGGGAGCTGCGGCGCCGAGCACGGTGAGGGGGGAGGGACCCCTGATTCCTGAGGGATCTGAGCCCTGAGACCCCCAATTCCTGGGGGATCCAAGCCCTGAGACCCCCAATTCCTAGGATGAGAGCTCTGAGACCCCCAATTCCTGAGGGATCTGAGACTCCCAATTCCTGAGGGATCCGAACCCTGAGACCCCCAATTCCTGAGGGATCTGAGACTCCCAATTCCTGGGATGAGAGCCCTGAGACCCCCAACTCCTGAGGGATCCAACTCCTGAGGGTTCCAATTCCTGAGGGATCCAATTCCTGAGGGGGCTGAGACTCCCAATTCCTGAGAAATCTGAGCCCTGAGACCCCCAATTCCTGGGAGATCCAATTCCTGAGGGGGCTGAGACCCCTAATTCCTGAGGGATCTGAGCCCTGAGACCCCCAATTCCTGGGATGAGAGCTCTGAGACCCCCAATTCCTGAGGGATCCAAGCCCTGAGACCTCAAATTCCTGAGGGATCTGAGCCCTGAGACCCCAATTCCTGAGGGGGCTGAGACCTCAAATTCCTGGGATGAGAGCCCTGAGACCCCCAATTCCTGAGGGATCCGAGCCCTGAGACCCCCAATTCCTGAGGATTCCAATTCCTGAGAGATCTGAGCCCTGAGACCCCCAATTCCTGAGGGATCTGAGACCCCCAATTCCTGAGG